GGCTTTGGTATGGCTCTATTGCAAAAATGGGTTGCATTAATGCACCAAGAACCTGAAACACCACAGAGTTGGCCAAAACCTCAGCCTGGGCTCAGCTGGTTTCTTTGCAGCTGGAAGAGCAAAGGAGACTTGGGGGGTTATTTGGTTTGCCCCCCTTACAGGGTGCCAGGGCAAGCGAGTGTGCCTGTGAGCGGTGGAGGAGCCACTCTGTGCAGCAGGGATGGGCAGCCATGCACCCAGCTCTGCCCCAGCCCGTCAGCTGCAGTGGATCAGATGCCAGTGCATACCTCAGCAGTGCTGTGGGCAAAGGATCTGCTTGCTTGCTGGTGGCTCTGCAGTGCCCTGGTGCCCATTTGGTCTGCCTTGCCCAGCTGGGGGGACCTGGGCTGTGCCATGGGCATCCTGGTGTGGCTGTGGCAGTGGGGGGGATGTACCTGCTGCAGAACTCCTGTTTGTGTGTCAGGAGTGAGAAAAGCAGGGTCATGTCAGAGCTATTTATTCCCCCCACGCACCCCACTGTGGCTGATGCTGGATTGAGTTTCAATTGTCTGAGCCCCGGGCAGCCTTGGAAAGGGAACGCGACATCCCAAAGCCACAAAGCCCATCTTTAAAGGCTCTTTCACAGCCAGAGGAGAGGTTTACAAGTATAAAGTGCTTTTCTTTCAACTTTGCGGGGCTCTATTTTTAGCACACAAAGATAATGTCCCAGTTGCTGTTGTTCATCTTTTGTTGCACGTAACATGCCAAATACTTACCGTGTCTGCCATATTCTTTTATCATGTAACCTTCTCCAAGCTGCTCTGTGGCTCTCTTACGTTGCAGCAGAGATTATGGGCTATCTGCACGCACAAATCCTCCCCGGGCTACTGGAAAAGAGCTCATTGTCCAAACTGAATTTGGGAAAGAGAAAGAAAAGGCAAATCACAGCTCTCTATAAAGACCTTCCCCAGCTGGGAGGCTGCATTCATTCTGGGAACTCCCAAGGACAGGGCAGAACCATTTACAAACCTTCTGCAATGAAACTGGATCATTTCTTGCTTAGAAACTCAAGCTTTTTATGCCCTTTCTGAGACTCTCAGAGCAAACATAGGAGGGGGACTCAGGACCCTACCAGGACTGAGGATGGAGAGGGGAAATGCTTCTGTTTGAGTAAACTCTGTCCTTTTGCATAGTCAGTAAAGCTCTTGGACTTTGTTCCTCACTTCCATCCCTTGACCAGTGTGTGGGTGAATCACTTGCCCTGTTATGGGGTCTGAGCAGGCTCCCAGCACAGGGCAGTTTTCCAGCAAGGCAAGACTGGATCATCAGTCCACTTCCAAATTCACAGCCTGGATCTGTATTAACTGAGGTGTGAATCCACAGCTAATGATCAAAAGGACGGCAGAGAGGGAAAAGGAAGAGACAAGGTGGGTGTATTAAAGAGCTATAACCACAGAGCTTCATTTCAGTGACAGAGCAGAGCTAAGAGGCTTGCAATGACCTGGAGAACTGCTGCCACTGGTGATAGGATAAAGAGCCCGTCATCTCCCAGCCTGTCCTGGCCACTGGTGATAATCTGTCTGTGGAGGGCAACCAAGTACCCAGTGCTTGCTGGAGAAACCTCTCCACCATGAACAAGCCTGTCCCAGGGTCAGGGGCTGCCTTTGCACCCTCCTCTTCATGCCTCCGGCTGTGGGTGCCCCTGCCTGGAGCTCTCCCTTGCTGCTACAGGGTGAGGGCATAAGCAGCACATGTGTGAGCTGGCACCCTCCTCATCTGTGCTCTAGGGTAATGCATGTGTATGTATATAGCATAGAATCATGGAATCCCAGCCTGGTTTGGGTTGGAAGGGACCTTAAAGCTCATCCAGCTCCAACCCCTGCCACGGGCAGGGACCCCTTCCACTGGAGCAGCTTGCTCCAAGCCCCTGTGTCCAACCTGGCCTTGAACACTGCCAGGGATGGGGCAGCCACAGCTTCTCTGGGCACCCTGTGCCAGCGCCTCAGCACCCTCACAGGGAAGAGCTTCTGCCTAAGAGCTCAGCTCAGTCTCCCCTCTGGCAGGTTCAAGCCATTCCCCTTGGCCTGTCCCTACAGGCCCTTGTCCCAAGCCCCTCTCCAGGTTTCCTGCAGCCCCTTTAGGCACTGGAGCTGCTCTAAGGTCTCTCCTTCAGGAGCCTTCTCTTCTCCAGGCTGCCCCAGCCCAGCTCTCTCAGCCTGGCTCCAGAGCAGAGCTGCTCCAGCCCTCGCAGCATCTCCGTGGCCTCCTCCGGACTCCATTCACAGCCTCTCTGCAGTCAGATGGGCCAGGGACCCTCCTGTGCAGACAGATTCCAGGGTGAGGACTTGCTGTGGGGCTTGGCACTTGGTGCAGTTCCAGGCTTGGTGCTGCTTTTGCTGCTGGATAGCAGTGGCTCTTAGGGCAGATGGGAAACTGAGGCAAAGGATAAAGCCACAAAGTCATCAGCAAGTCAGTGACCAAGCAAGGAAAGGATCCCCTCTCCCTCCCAGGCAGTCCAACAATGCATCCTACAGCTCTGAGGCATCTTACACCTCTCTTGGGTCACGAAGGACATAAGGATGTCTCCATCCTGGGAGGTTTCACGGCTTGGCTAAGGAAAGCCACAGCCACCCTGATCAGTGCTAGGGATGGTCCCACCGTGAGCAGGAGGTGGGTTAGATATGAGCCCCTTCCCTCACTCATTCCCTGACATGAGGAAATGTCTGGTAGACCAGACAGAAAAGTAAGTATCCACAGGCAAGACATTGGAGTCAATGAAATAATTCACGATTTCCCCCAGTTTCTGAGCATCATATGTGGATTTACTTGTTCTGCTGCTCGTACAAAGCTGCATTAGTGACAAATTAAGTCCAAATAAAGATGTAGATCTGAAGCTGGTGCTCAGCCATTGTTCTGCTGGCCACACACAAACACCACACAACCAGCAATTACTTCAAACCTGCATAATGGAGGTCACAAACCGAGTCCAGACGCACTGTTTTCGTTGGGGCCTCACAGTTACATCATGAATGTGCTGTAAAAATGCTTAAGTAACTACATTACCCCAGTAGCTACCCAAACAATTACCTTGGAATGACAATAAATCTTTTTTATGCTGTTGTGTTGATGGTACCTTACTGGCAAATGAGTTAGAATTGGTTTATTTATCACTTTTATTACACTTATGACACGTTTTACTACACTCATCATAAGGGCAGAGAGTTAGGACTGACAGTCCCTTTGCATATTTAAACAGAGAAGTAGGAAGGACCTGGTTTGGTTTGGATTTATTTACACATAAATCAATTTTATCTGTTGCTAAGCCAGCCACGCTCCTGCAGAACGCCCCCCCTTGATTTGTCACACTGCCATTTCAAGCTCCGTTGCTGGGAAATGAGCATCTTGCAAGTCTACGAAACTGCTCTGAAACCTGAGATTTACCAGATGTACTCAAGTGGGGAGGCACAGAACAGCCCCCAGCCTTGGATCTGTCTGGAACATGAGCAGAGAGCAACCCTATCTGCTGAGGAACCCAAAGTCAGCACAAACACACATCTAAAGAGGGAGAAAAGATCAGCTTGCATTATGCCGTGGGGCATCCCGGAGACTGCTGAGGCCCTGGGAGCCTCCGAACTGCAGCACGGCACATGGCTAGGGACATCCCATGGGACACCGGGGTGCTCTCAACACTGGGAACAAAGGGGGCTGCCAAGGGTTGGACTGCATCCAGGTACCCCTGGCCACCCTGTCCCCAGGTCCTGCTGGTACAGCACAGCAAAGGGATGTGGGCAATGACAATGTTGAAGGAATGCGAAACATGAAGATATTTCCAACACCAGTTCAGTTTGGGCTCTTTATTTCCAACTCCAGGCTTGTAGAGCCCCTGTCTTTCTCTGACTGCAAAGGGCAAATTTCAGCTCCTGCAAAGGCAAGGATGGCACAGCTTCAGTACAGAAGGAGGTCCCAGTGAGTTAACATGGAATCATAGACTCCCAGACTGGTTTGCGTTGAAAGTGACCTCAAAGCTCCTCCAGCTCCAACCCCTGCCACGGGCAGGGACACTTTCCACTAGAGCAGCTTGCTCCAAGCCCCTGTGTCCAACCTGGCCTTGAGCACTGCCAGGGATGGGGCAGACACAGCTTCTCTGGGCACCCTCACAGGAAAGAGCTTCTTCCAATCTAAACTTCCCCTGTTTAAGTTTGAACCCGTTACCCCTTGTCTTATCACTACAGTCCCTAAAGAAGAGTCCCTCCCCAGCATCCCTATAGCCACCGTTCAGACACTGGAAGCTGCTATGAGGTCTCCACGCAGCTTCTCTTCTCCAGGCTGAACAGCCCCTACTTTCTCAGCCTATCTTCATATGGGAGGCGCTCCAGCCCCTAATCATCCTCGTGGCCTCCTCTGGACTTGTTCCATGTCCTTTTTATGTTGAGGACACCAGAACTGCACACAACACTGCAGGTGTGGTCTCACGAGAGCAGAGTAGAGGGGCAGGATCACCTCCTTTGACCTGCTGGTCACGCTCCTTTTGATGCAGCCCAGGATACAGTTGGCTTTCTGGGTTCTGGGCTGCGACTGCACACTGAAGCCGGCTCATGTTCATTTTCTCATCGACCAGCACCCCCAAGTCCTTCTCCGCAGGGCTGCTCTGAATCTCCTCTCTGCCTGGCCTGTAGCCATGTCTGGGTTGGGTGGAGGAGAGATTCGGAGCAGCAGGTAATTGATTAATGCCAGGTAATTGATTAACATCAGATAACTAATATCAGGTCAATTGTGGACCAGCAAACAGGGCGGGGGTGCCGCTGCGCTCCCCCCCGTGGGGCGGGACAGGCAGAGCTGTTAATGAACACGGCGCTCATTGCCTTGAGACCGCACTGCACACCAGCACCCGCGTGACGTCACAACGTGACGTCACATCTCCCCTTGACACCCCCCCTCCGCTCCCGCTACTCAGCCCCGCCCTTAGCGCCTTTTCCCCGCCCCCGCCTGCCTCCCACGCTGATTGGTCAGGTGAGCTGCCAATCCGCGTACCGGGGCGGGGCGAGTGGGGAGCGCTGTCCAATCGCGTGCCGCGGCGGCAGGCAGCTGCGATTGGGACAGGTGAGGAGCCGGTGGGAGCTGCTCCGGGGCGGGGGTCGGGTACCGGGATCCGGGCCCAGGCCGGCTCCCCGCGGAGGGTCCGGTGCTCGGCCGGGGGCCGCCTGCAGCAAGGGCGGGATGTGGCGGCCCAGCCCTGCGCAGGCCGCGGGGGTACTGCATGGGCCTCCGTGAGGGAGCCGTGGCCTCGGGCTGTGTCAGCCCTCGGTGCCGGTCCTGAGTCGTGGCCGGGTGCCGGGGCTGGGCCGGGCCGGGCCGCTCTGCTTACCGGGGCAGCTCCGGCCCGGGTGTGTGACTGTGCTGTGCTTCCGCAGCGCCGGGCATGGCTGCGCCCTGGGAGGACGTGCTGCGGGACAGAGCGGCCATCCAGGAGGCCGCGGCCGTGGCCGTGGACGCGGCGCTGCTGCAGGGCGTGTTGATGCGGACCGAGGGGCAGCCCAACGCCTCCGATGTAAGTGCCAGAGCGCAGGCACGGAACGGATTCGGTCCCGCCGCGGTGTGAGTCAGCAAAGCCGGGGGAGCGCGGGGGGAGCCGGCTGCCATCCCGGGGGCTGCAGCCCGACAACCTGGGGCTGAACTCACCCGCCGTGCTGCTGATGAGTGCGTCTGCCTGAGGCAGCCCTGCAGTACAGTTCTGAGGAGAGGGATCGATCCGGAAGCTTTCGGGATTGGCAGGAGCCTGCATGTGCGGGGTGGTGCGAGTTCATCCCTCACGCAGCCTCTGAGCACCCCAGTGATCCTTTGAATGAGAGGAGCATTCCTTGCAGAGTGCTCCCTGCTGCAAGGCAGCCTTGGCTCCATACCTGGAATGAGGTGACAGGGATGGGGGTGGCTGATGTGTGGGGTTATCTCTGGTGGATCCCTGGCAACTGGCTGGGGTGAAGGTGCTGATGGGGGTCTTGGCCTGCTGGAGATGGATCTGGTGAAGGGTCTCAGAGGAGGATGTACCCCTGGGCAGGAGAGGTGGGACACTGTCAGGGATGGGTCCCTAAGGAGCTTGGGGACAAGCAGGGAGCTATACTGGGACTTGGCGGGGTGCAAGGAGGGAGGTCTCCACGGTGAGGACTGCTCCTTGATGTCAACCCCATAGTCAGAGCTCTGAAGGAACCTCAAAGGGTGAGAGGAAGAGGGAGCTTGGTTGGAGAGGCCAAACACACTGCCAGCGTCCCTTGTCTTGTGTAGAAGTCGAGGGGTATTGGGAGCTTCTCTCTGGTGTCATATTTTGGCTTTGAGGGTGGGCCTGTGCCTGAGCTGTGGGGTCTGGAATCACCCCTGGGACTCAGAGATCAAAGGCAGTGACTGATGGCTGAAACCCAGGACTGGCAAATTCCCCTTTGCTCTGACCCAGAGGCGTTGTGGAGACAGTGCTCTCCGGTTGAAGCAGATACAGGGCATCCTCCACCGGGAAGCACTCACCCAGTTCGAGCTGTGGAGCAGCTGCGCCTGCAGTCCCCATGGATGCTCTTCAAGCAGAGCCCTCAAAAGCCAGGGGTCAGCAGGGTTGAGCCATGTGTATGTCTGTGTGCACCCGGGAGGGCTGGGGGTGGCTTCAGCCCCTCTTCAGTCCTGCTTAGGCTGCACAGACCTGACCTCTCTGCTGCTGCATCTTTGCAGGTGGTGAATTTTGCTCCCTTCACGCTGCTCCCATCTCCAGTACCCCGTGCTCTCTTTGAACAAGCATATGCTGTTCAGCAAGATTTTAACATGCTGGTGGATGCTATTAGTCAAAACAAGGAATTTCTGGAGCATACTCTGGCCAGGTAACACTCTTTCGTGGTGCATTTTAATGAACTATTTTAAATGCAAAGCATTTGCCACCTCTCAGCATTCCCACCTTCTGTCCGTTCATGTCCTTCACCTGAGGCAGGCACTCCTGTCCTCTGCAGAAAGTGTATCTTTTCCTGCATTATTTGTCCTAAGATTAATTCCCGTCAAGTCTCTGTGTTCTGAGGTCTTCTTGGGCCTCAGGAGATGGGACGTCTGGCCGAGAGGTGACTCCCTGCAGTGATCTTCAGTTTTGCCAGTGCTTTGAGGTTGTGAATTCTTATTGTGAGCTTGATAGCCTCTGGGCCTTAAGTTCAAATCGCTGGGTCCAGTAACCACCGGGTCTGCCAGCCGTTATGAAGAGCTGTTTGTCCTCCTGCCATCCTTCTCTCTGCTCAGACACCCAGTGTCCCCTGCTCTCCCAGCCATGATGGGAAGGTGACCCACAAGCTCTGGGTGATGGAGCGACCCTCCCTCACTATGGAACCCATTAGGTTGATCGTTCCATAGGGCTGATGCTTCCACAAAACCCATTTCCCTTCCTGCTATCTGTGGGGGTGCTGCTGGCTCTCTGGCACTAGCACAGAGCAAAGGAGACTTTTCCAGCATCCTTCTTCTGGCCCTTCAGAGCTGTTGAATGCTTGTGCATGTTCCAGAGCTGGCTGCAGCCAGAGCTTGTGGGGACATGCTTCTACCTGTGGTGGAGGAATGCAGCGCCTGGGGCTTGGGTGCATTTGGGTGCCTGCCTTATGCTGCCTCCTCTGCATTGTCTCGGCAGCTCCTTGGGGGTGCTGCTCACCACTGGCTCAGGGATTTGGGATCCTGAAGAAAAGCCAGACCTTCTCTAGCAGGGCCACTTGGTACCATGGTGTGTGGGATTTGGAACCCAAAGGATGGAGATTCAGAGAAGCTTGTGAAGCTTCCTCTATGAGCTGTGCGTGCAGGCCCAGAGGGACTTTGCCATTCCTTTCCTGTGTGCAGAATTCTGCTGCATTCCTTTGCTTTTGCTTGTCTCTTGCCCTGCAAGCGAGTCACCTCTGCACATGGTGCTTTTTGTGGAGTGCAGTGCTGAGCAAAGCGGGTTTGTGTTGTGGTTGTACACCCTTGATGAGGTGTGCTTTCATGGCGAGATGCTAACAGTGCTGCAGGACCTGGTTTAGCCACAGCCCTGCTGTTTGTGCTGGGGAGGGTCCCAGGGAAGGTTTTCTTTGTGGAGAAGTGATTCAGAGAAATCTCCAGGAACTCGCCAACAAGGCTGAAGTTGACAGGCAGGAATCCTTTATTGCAGCATTGGGAGACACGGGGGATAGCTCCTCCTAGCGTGTCTTAGCCGAGCCTCAAAACAGACTGTGATTATATTGTTGCTCAATGTGCATATTCATTAAATGTCATACATATTCATTAGCCATTCATAACCAGAACCGCTTTGCATCATTCCACGCCCATTTTTTACATGCACACAACAACGTGGTCGTGGTCTTTTGGGGGTGGTTTACTTCTTCCAGCAGTCTTCATCACTTCTGGCAGTCTGAAGCACACACAGTAGATAATGCTTACACCAGCTTAATTGCTTCAGTAACATTGCAGACATAATCGTCCTGTCCTTCTACTTAATCAGTTAGCTTAGCTGCAGCCCATCCTGGACATCTGCTAGGTTCAGATACTCTTTATCTACACGTCCTGTTTTTCTATCCTGGTTTTCTTACACTTATTTTTGTACTAAGGTCATAAGGGCCTAAAACTACATCAGCTACAATGGTTTATCTTATACAAGGATTCTCATTATGCTCTCTAGCTGCACTCTGCTAATTTTTCTGTGAAACGTGTACCTCAGTTATTTTCCATTGCTCCTGTTACAAAGCCACAACATTTAACATGTACTTAGTACTTAGAACTGATTTTCTTATTTACGAAGGTTTGTGTTTCATTTTGTGCCTCTGTCTCAAGAGTTAACCTCCTTGTTCCTCTGTGACAGTGTAAGGGGCTGATGTGATGTGTGTTCCTCTCTAGCACCATCAAGGTGGATGACTTCACAGCTCAACTCTTCAGGATCTACACACAAGTTCTGGAGGAAGGCTTGGCTCAGGTACCTGCCAGGAGACCTCAGTGCTCAGTGTCCCTCTGCACCGTGGTGGCCTTGCCTGGGTTCTGTCTGCAGGCTTGCTGCTGCTTGGGACTGTCCCCTGGTCACTCCTGCAGCACAATGTCTTGGGTACAGCCTGTGAGTTTGGGACTTTGCCCTGTTTGATGGTCGTGCCCTTTGGTTAGTGTTGCTGAAAGCAGCCAGGCCTTGACTGGGAGGGTTTAATATGTCTGTCCTCTGGGAGCCTAAGGAAAGTGCAGGGATGTGTTCCACATCAGGACCTGTGCTGGCAGGCTCTCCCTGCAGAACCTCCTTTACTCTAACAAGTGTTAACTCCTTGGAGTGCTAAGGAGGGCTGTGGTTCCTAAGCAAGGGCCAAAGCACCCATGGGCATGGCTTGCAGAGGCTTGCATCAATGTGAAGGTGACTGAATCTGTCCCAGGAATATTCTGAAACAAGGTCGTCAAAGGGATTTGCAATTAAAGGCATCAGGAGCTCCCACTTCACCTCCCCTTTGTTCCAGTCTGTGTTTTTAGGCATAAATCGCTCTGATTACATGTTTGACTCTGGGGTGGATGGGTCACCAGCTCTGAAGCAGATAGAAATAAACACCATTGCTGCCAGCTTTGGAGGCCTCACCTCCCGCACTGTGGCGGTCCATGGGTAAGGCAGCATCTCTGGCCTGTGCTGCAGCAGCTGTATGCATGGCCTGCTGCACAGCCTGCCTCTGCATGCTCCCAGCCTCCTGCTCCCTGTGACTGGCCAGGGGCTGTCGTGGCATTGACAGTGTTCTTTGTTCCACAGGCAGGTATTGAAAGTGCTGGGAAAGCCTCAGGAGGCATCACGTCTGCTGCCCAACAACCCATCCAGAGGCCTTGCCTTGGGTATTGCCAAAGCCTGGGAGCTCTACGGCTCGCCAAGGTAAGGAGAGAGGAGGTGCTGGAGGCTGCTCTTATCTTGTCTGCCCTGAGGATGCACGAGTTTGGGTTTGAAACTGTGCTTTCTGTTTGCAAGACAAGCTGCTCTCAAAGCCTGGAACACCCTGGGAAGAGCACTGGGTTGTCTTAGTGCACAAAACTGCTGTGTCCCAGAGGCAAGTAGGGGCAGAGGAACCCTGGAGGAGCTGTGGGGCTCAGTAACCCTGCACAGAAGTTGCTTCTCCTCCTGCCCTTGGGCTCATGCCCTGCACTGGTTTGGTTCTTACACAGGAGCAGTGCTGCTCTTTGTTTGCATGCTGACCCATAGAGACTGGTGAAAACGAGCAGGAGCAATGCAGGAAGCTCACAGAGGTCAAAAGTTGTCATTCTTGGGTGCACATGGAGTGTTTCTGGGTTCAGTGATGTCCTTGGTGTTTCTTCCAGCGCTGTGGTGATGTTTCTGGTGGAGGAAGTCCAGAGGAACATTTTTGATCAGAGATGTGTAGAAAATGAGCTTTGGAACAGGTAAAGTTTGGATTTTCCTTGGGTGGGAAAGGGAGGAGGTGGTACGGGCTTGGCAAAGGGAAGCAGAGTGAGCTGCTGCCAGCTTCCCTCGAGGCAGCTGTGGGGTGTCTCCAGGCTCTCCAGCAGGCACTAGGAGTGTAGGAACAGGCCAGGAAAAGATGGAGGTGTGCAGAATCCATTTGCTTTCCACTTTGTCACCTACTCATGGATAAAGTCAAAACAGTTCTAGTTTCTGGGGTTGTGAGAGGCCATGTCTTGGTATGCAACAGGGCAGCCTTTATTTGGACTTTGCTCTGTTATGCAGCTCGCTCAGTGTTCCTTCAGTGGCCTCCTGCCCAGCCTCAGCACCCACCTTCATCTTCTCACCAGCTTCCTAAAGCCTCTCACCAGCTCTTTTCTGGAAATACCAGCAGCATCAAAGCCTCTGGTCCCCAGGGCTGATTCCTTGCTGATATTGAGCCTGTGCAGTCCTCAGAGCTGCATCAGTGGTAGCTTGGCTGTGTGCCCAGTCTCTTAGATGAGACAGTAAGGAGCAGAGCAGGTTAATGAGGGTCCTGCTTGCCTCTGACTAGGGGTTTGGCACAGGGCATTTCATAAAAGCTTAAATAATGAAGCTCCAAAGCAAAAGGAAGCAACTTGGCCGTGGAGCGAAGCACCGGGGAGAAGGAGGTGTTCAAAGGTCTAGCGCAGAGGCAGTGCTGGAGTGGTGGGAGGTGTACCCCGTATCGTGCAGTGGCTCCACATGAGCAGCTCCACACTGCCGCTGTGTGGAGGAAAGGCTGGAAAGCAGGAAGGAGATGGATAAAACATGGGGGAAGTCACGGTCAGCAGCTCTTGGCTTGGAAGGCAACAGTGGGTGAATCTGTTGTGTAGGGATAAAAACCCCAGACACCAACTTCTCTTAGAAACGCTTTAGGAGATGAGAGATGGAGAAATCCAGGGGTTCAGGGACATGTTCTGCTTCCTACAGTATCTGGGTGGGAAACACAGGAGAGAGGTGCTAAAACCTGGGACTGTTTTGCCCTGCAGGATTCCCCTGGCTCTAGTGTAAAGCCTGTGAAGCAGCCACCAGCTCCTCCTTGCTGGAGCCACTGGCTCCACCTCTGGTTCCCAGCTCAGTGCCTGCTGGTGACTTTCCCACTCCTCTCTTGACAGGGATATCCGGGTCATCAGGAAGCGCTTCAGGGATGTGTTTGAGAAGGGCTCTCTGGATGAGGCCAGGAGGCTGTATATGTGAGTATGAGCCAAGGTGCGCATCCGGCTCTGTGTTGGGCACACGGGGCTGCAATGGCAGTGTTCAGCCAAAGCTGTGGGGTGTTCTGGGTGTCAGTAGTGCCTTTCTGAGAGTACTTCTCCCTACTCCAGGCTGCTGCTTCCCCTTAGGTCTGGGATGATTGCTTGCATACACACACCCGTCCCTTACAGCTGGAAATGTAATTCCCCTCCTTCAAGCAACAGCCATTAGAGCTCTGTGGGATCTTCAGGTCCTCCACATACATCTGCTAGGAGAAGTCCTGGCTGTTCCAGAAGCTTCCCCAAAGCCGTTTCCTGTTTACTGCTCACGTGAGGCTCTGTCAGTGAGCGCTAGGGTGCTGGAGGAGGAAGCATCCCACATCCTCATGCTGTCTGTTGGATTAAAACACACTCAGCATCTTGCTCTCTCCCTGTGGAGGCCTGTGCAGGTCACAGACTCCAAGTGCTGGCCATTGGTCCCAAGTGGGACATCTGTCCTGTTTCCAGGTACTGTGCTTGGAGCTGTACAAGCCCAGAGGAAGCTATGGTTCTATGGCAGTGTCTTTAGGCTGTTTTTCCCTTGGTTTGACCTTTGGTGCCTCTGCTGTGTTTAATTAACAAACACATTTGTCATTGCCCTACAGGTAAAGTGTATCCGCTGCACTTCCTCAGAGCATCCTCTCCTCTCCCTGCTAAATGCCTTTACACTTACACTGCCAGCAGGCTCTGTGCTGCTTTCCCTGAGCACATGCAGGGTGGCCCAGGTTTGGGTGTGTGGTGCTGCAGGGGTGCTGGTGGCCCTGCTCTGGCAGGGTGGTTTGGTGCCTGGGCAGGTTGTTGAGTTGATGTCCTGCCTCCAATTGCCACTGGAGAAGGACCCTGCTCCCTCCCAGCTTCCAGCATGTCACAGGCCTGGCTCCTGGTGGCAAAAGCTATTGAGGAGCCTCGGAGGCTGTGGCTGCTCATGGGCAGAGGTGAGGTGTCAGCTCCCTGTGTCTCAGGCAGGTGGCTGCGGCGCCGTGGAGAGGAGCCGGGGCTGGCAGCTTCCTCTGGCAGGAGCAGAGCAGCCTGGGAGAAGGGGCAAATGCTGGGACGTTGCCTCCTGACCCCAGGGGTGGCCTGGTTCTGTGAGTGCCTCTGGTTTGTGTTGCAGGGATGGGCAGGAGGTAGCTGTGGTGTACTACAGAGAGGGCTATGTGCCAAGCAACTACAACGAGCAGGTCAGTGCTGAGCCCTCTGCCACCCATGCTCTGGCCTTGTCCAGTGAGTGTGAAGTGCCCTGTGATCCCAGGGGCATGTGAGCTGTCCGGAAGGGTTGGGGTCAGTCCTCTCCCACGTGGCTGATGGCATCGGGAAGCTGTGGTGCTGCAGTGATATGGGTGTCCCTGGCATACAGTAAGCGAAACGAGTGGCTTTCTTACTGCAGCACTGAACTGCTTCTGTATAGGGGTTAGCACAAGTATTAGCGCCAGCTTAGAGGGTTTAGGCTTACCTACAGACCGTCCTGTCCTCTAGTACAGGGCTATGAGGCTGCAGCTAATACAGACCAGATCTTTCTGTTGCCTGCAGGTGGCAGCAGTGGGCAAGCTGGAAAGGGGGTGACGGCAGAGGAGGTTGGCCAGCGATGGGGGGAAATCCATGTGTGCATCTCCAGGGTGCTATTCCCATCCCGGGCAGGCAGGGAGCAGGCAGGGAGCAGGCAGCTCATGTCCATAACTGAACAGAAGGGAGTGGAGAGAAGCTTTACACCTTTGCTCATAGGACGGTCGCTGTTTTTGTGCTCAGAACTGGGAGGCTCGGCTGCTGCTGGAGAGGTCCCGGGCAGTGAAGTGCCCTGACATTGCCACCCAGCTGGCGGGCACCAAGAAGGTGCAGCAGGAGCTGAGCCGCCCGGGGACTCTGGAGAGGCTGCTGCCCGGGCACGCTGAGGCAGTCTCGAGGATCAGAGCAACCTTTGCTGGGCTCTACTCCCTGGACATGGTGAGTGGGGCTGTGCAGGGACAGGCAGGCAGGCGCTTGGCCTGTGGGATGTTTCTCTCTGGTTAAGGAGATGCTGTGGTCCCCGAGGGACCCTGCTGATCCTGCTCACAGGGGGGTTCCTGAGGAGCCCCTGCTCCTCCCTCATGCTTTGCTGTTCCATCCTCCTTGACAGGGTGCAGAGGGGGACAGGGCAGCTGCTATGGCAATCGCTGACCCCGACCGCTTCGTGCTGAAGCCACAGCGAGAAGGTGGAGGTATGAGCTGAGCCCATGTGGGGCTTCACTGCTGCCCATGCTGGAGCAGGAGAGGTGGTAGCTCTGGGCTGGCTCCTGGTCTTCTGTCAAGGGGGTTGGACCTGGGTGATCCTTAAAGTCCCTTCCAACCCAGACCAGTCTGGGATTGTGTATTAGGCAGAAGCTCTTCCCTGTGAGGGTGCTGAGGCGCTGGCACAGGGTGCCCAGAGAAGCTGTGGCTGCCCCATCCCTGGCAGTGTTCAAGGCCAGGTTGGACACAGGGGCTTGGAGCAAGCTGCTCCAGTGGAAGGGGTCCCTGCCCGTGGCAGGGGTTGGAGCTGGAGGAGCTTCAAGGTCCTTTCCAGCACAAACCTGTCTATAAGAAATGGGTGGAGGAGCTGGGCTATGGGGAGCCCCAGGTTGGGTCTCTGGCTGCTGGGGCTGCATAGCTGGGGCCAGGGGTTTCTGCTGTGCTGGGCACTCCTTGACTTGCTGGTTTTGTTGTCAGGGAACAACCTCTATGGTGAAGAACTCAGGCAGGTTCTGGAGAAGATCAGAGACAGCCCTCAGAGAACCTCCTACATCCTGATGGATAAGATCAAGCCACGGCCAGCCATGAATTACCTGCTGCGGGCTCACAGCCCCCTGCAAGTGTCCGAGTGCATCTCGGAGCTGGGGATTTTCGGGGTCTATGTCAGGTGAGAGCGTGCTTGTCCTGCAGGGTGGTTTCCTGCCCCAGCCAGCACTGGCGTTGGGAGCATTCTCCCCTCTGCACTGTGAGCACAGCAGCAAGGCTGATGTCTGCAGGGAAGTGGAGGTGCAGCAGCAGCCCCGGCTGTGCAGCCTCTGCCATGGCAGCAGCTCCGAGCACTGCTCAGACCCATCACTGCTGCTCTGACCCCACTGCCAGTGAGCTGGTGATGGGTGTAACAGCCACATGGAGCTGGTGTGTTCATCCCTGCTCTGGGAACACTGCTCAGGTCCCTGGTGCAGCCACGTGCTTCTCTAAAGCCCTGGCTAGCGCAGGAGTGCCTGAAGGCTGGATTTTCAACCCTAAGTAGCTGCTGCTTTTGTTTAAAACCCCCATAGGCCCATTGAAATGGTTCCAGAGCTTCTCAATTCAAGTCTTTCTGGTATAATTTTAGACACAAATGTACTCGGGCAGCATTCAGAGCCTGGCACTGTGTGTGCCGTCACCCAAAGCACCGCTGAGGGAGGGCACAGAGAGGGCAAGGCACAGCTGTGCTGTGTGCAGACACCTCTGCATCAGCCCTAGGGGTTTGACCTGCCCTGCACTGGGGTGGGGAACACGAATCCCACCGTGCAAGCTGAAATTAGACCAGGTTGGAGATAAGGAAGCAGCTCTCCCCTGTGAGGGTGCTGAGGCGCTGGCACAGGGTGCCCAGAGAAGCTGTGGCTGCCCCATCCCTGGCAGTGTTCAAGGCCAGGTTGGACACAGGGGCTTGGAGCAAGGTCTGTGCTGTGCGGTGCTCACCTGCCCTTTCCTTTGCAGACAGGGCTCGGAGCTGGTGCTGAGCGAGGCCGCAGGGCACCTCCTGCGCACGAAGGCGGTGGAGCACGCGGATGGGGGGGTGGCGGCGGGGGTGGCCGTGCTGGACACCCCCTACCTGGTGTGAGGAGGGGACCCCATCCCGCTGCTGCCTCCAGAGCTGAGCTGCCCCGGGCTCTTCTTGGGGTGCGCTTGCCAAGGCCTGACCTGCTGGGGACGGTGAGGAGGGGCGGGGAGGACACAGCTGCTCGACCAGCCCCGTAGACCAGCCCCAGCTTCTCTGCAGGACACAGGGGCTCTGCTGCACATGTCCCTGCCCCTGCACATCCCACCCATGGCCTTCCAGGGCAACACAGCTCTGGCTGCCCCTTGGGAGCCACAGCAGGCACTTGTGCTGCTCCTGGCTGTGTGCTCCGTGATGCTGTTTCTGGAGACACAAACCCAAAGCGTGCCCTGTGCTGCACGAGGCAGGCAGCAGTGCAGGCTGCACCTGAGCCCCCCCAGTGATGATGAGGAATTGGAGCCTTTATCACTGTGCCTGTACACCCCAAATCCCCAGTGCCTCCCACTGCAAGTCCCGCACTGAGCAGCTCCTGCCTGGGCTGCTGGAGCACTTACAGCCCAAAGGGGGGTCAAGGAGCCCCAGCCTCAGTGAATGGCTCTGTAGGACTTGGGAGCTTTGTGCTGAGGAAGCAAAGGAACTGCAGGAGAGGCTGAGCGGTGCAGCCCTGCTGCTGATGCTTCCCTCTGGGACCCGCACAGGGCACGATGTGTCACCCTCCAGGTTTCATGGGCTGGGAACAGCAGCAGTGCAGGGATGTGGGCCCAGCCTCTCCTTCCCAAAGTCTTTCACTCTTCCTCCAGCCCCTCTTCCTCCTCAGCTGAACAGTTCGAGGGGAAGCAATCACAATGCCCCTTTCCAGCAGTGCCTTGGTTAAAGCAGCCTCAGCTCTGCCCTTGTGGTGACACCAGAGGAGCAGATTAAAGCCACTACTCCTGAAGCCCGACTGTGCTGAGTGCCAGTGCAGTGCTGCTGCTGTCCCTGTGCACCTCAGTGGCCACTCCTGTCTGTGAGGAGGAGCGGTTCGACATTCCTGGGGGTTGTGGCACTGGGGGGGTGATTGCCCCCCGCCACACATTAAAACATGATGTGCAATCTGAGCACTGCTCCCGTGCCTGCTCTGTGCGATGCGGGGTGCCCGGGCTGCTTTGGGCAGGGGTCCATGTGTGCACAGTCCTTCTGTGTACCTTGAGCCCGGGGATGGCTGGAGCCAGCCCATCCCTTTGTGCTGTGGGTGCACTGCGGTGGAGGTGGGTCCTGGCACTGCAGCTGGTGTGAGGGCTGCCAGGCAGGACACGCCTCCAGGAGCCCAGAGCTGGGATGCAGTGAGCTGGAGCAGCAGGGGAAGGGGCAAGGTTGGACCAGTTGTGAGGAGCAGGAGCAGTGATGGAGCACGGCCCTGGAGCTGACACGGGACCACAGTGTGGAGGCAGAGGCTGGTACCCAGTGTTGTGCCCACGTGAGGACCAGGCCTGGTGTGGAAGTGAGCCCTGAGCTCCTGTGGTGGTGGTGTCAGATGGGTGTCACAGGCTTGTGCTTTCCCTGAGCCTCAATGGAATAACCTTGGCTGGAGCCCAGGGAGAAACTGAATCTGCCCTTGCCCCAGTGGCCAGCAGCAGCACAGGCAGAGTCACAGCCTCGAACGAGCCCACGCTCTGAGCCCATTTCCATTTTGTTTCCTTGAACTTTATTCCATAAAGCTCGAGCTGTTTCCAGCCAACACGACACAGTGAACAGGAACTGAGGACAGTAACTGAGTGAACAGGAACAAGGTGGCACAATCCAGTGGTACAGAGTTGGGGGGGACTGCACACACAGGTTATGGATCACAGACAAGGGCTGTGCCAGCAGGAGCAGCAGGTAAGGAGTCAGCCATAGGCTTTGGACTACAGCAACCAGCCCCAGAAGCACCTGCCTCACCCTTCCCACTCTGCTCAGCTGCAGGTAAAGCCTCTACAGCTGCTGCAGCACATTTTAAAGCCCATTTCTCCTTTGGTTTAAGTGCAAAATCAAACAGCTCACATGCAGTGTTCATACAGACATCACAGAGGAGGTAGCTCAACACAGGGCTGGAGTTAAACGTACTTCACTGGAAGAAGAATGGCTTTGGCAGTGCCCTTGTGAAGTTCAGGCTCTTGGGCTGCAGTTTTGGGGTTCTTTTTCCCTCTCAGCATCATAAATCCCTGACACGTTTAAGCAAAAGCCAACTTTAAACATCTTCCACAATGTTCTTCCTGATGACAAAACACCAGTACCAACTGCCCTGCCTGCCGCGGTGGCCTCTGCATGGGCTCCCTGCCTTGGGTACCACAGCACCCATTCCCACCCCAGGACACAAGAGGAGCATCAGCCCGAGCTCAGCTGTGAGCTCTGTGGAGCACATCACACCAAGGCTTCTCCTCCTCGACCATTCATGGCTCTGTGTTGTGTCCATGGCCAGTGCAGGACCTTGGGATGGGTAAAACACAGCCCCTGGCACTGTGCACTTGGGAAGCAGCAGATCTTGGTACCCCATTGCTCTAAGCAAGCCGTTTAAAGCACAGTGGCCCCTCAGCCTTGCCCCACTCCCTCTCAGGCTCAAGGACCTCTGCTAACAGCAGGCTTGGACAGCGGATGCAAGACCGAGGCTCAGCTGTAACGTGCTTTGCAGTGCTCCAAGGACAAAGAGGGAGCTCAGCTGGGCTTGTGGGGGCTGCAGCTCCCTTCCCTGCCTGCACCAAGTAACTCCAGCTCCATCTCCCCTCCAAACCCCAGTGTTCCTTCCCACTGTGCACAAGGTGCCAGACCCCCCTCAATTACATACAGTTAACCAACAACCCCAGCCCCAACTAACTGAAACATCAAGAAGGAGGTGCTGGAAAGGGAGGAGGAGGAGTGCTCCTGTGCATGAGGCTCAGCCTCACGTGTACACCTCCCATGTGGAACAGAATGCACTCACTCCGAGGCAGGGACACACCAGTGAGAAGTGGCCTCTCCAGAACCTGTCCCTCCTTCAAACACTTGTACATTCAACTCAATGGGTGAAGGTCCATATCCCGGGGCAGGCAGCTGGGACCTGCTCACAGGACACTGCTGCCACAGCAGGGCCGATGCTGCTACTGGCCAGTGTTACATCTGTTGTTGAAGAGTTGGTCTACGATGCTCGGGTCTGCCAAGGTGGATGTGTCCCCCAGGTCATGGTCATTCCTGGCAATCTTCCTTAAGATCCGTCGGGTAATCTTCCCTGTAACAACAGCCAGGAGAGGGGAGCAGTCAGCATCTCCTCAGCATCCTCAGCACGAGTGCAGAGTGCCCAGACCTGCAGCATCCTCTTTGCCCTGAGGTTGCTCCCCCTTGACTTTGGGTGGCCCTGGACAAGCAGTTGAGGGCTGGTTTCCCTACCTGAGCGGGTCTTGGGCAGCCCGGGGGCATACTGGATGTAATCAGGCGTTGCGATCGGTCCAATCTTGTCTCTGACTACAAAGGAGAAGAGAGAGATGTTAAGTGCAGGAAGGAGGAGGCACCACACAGCTCCCTTTTGAGGCAGGAGGCCCATGACCCGCACAGCCCAGCCGCAGGGCAGGGTTTAGGGCTGCTGCACCCGTGCCTCCAGGCTGCAGGGGGTGGGCAGCGAGACCAGCAATGCCAATGGGGCCATAAGCACATCCTGCCATAGGCAGCAGCACTCATCTTTTCATGCTCTCCATCCTCAGGAGACCTCTCCAATGGCTACAGCCAGCACTAAGCATCATTTTGACAGAGCAAGGGCTGATTTGCTGTTGGGTTCCTCCAGACAGGAAACTGCCAAGGGTCCATTTCATGTCTGATGTGGCCATGAAAGAAGAGCTCCCTTGAGACCAAGCACAAACACCCCAGAGCACCCAATAACCCTCTCAGCAAGTCAGGATGTGCCCAGGGGAGCCACTGGAAGCCGTGCCCACATAGAAGAGCTTAACAAGGTTCTGGGCACCCCAGTCCTTCATAGAGCTGCCAACTCCCCGTCCAGGAGGTCCAGAGGGCATCACATGTGCAGCCAAAGGCTCAAGAACTAATTTTAGTGCTTGCCAGCCGTGCTCTGTGCTCAGAGGGGCACCTTGTCACACTTGTCCTCACTGCATTCCCCACACTCCCAAACCCTGCAGCACCCATCCCGCACCTCCCCAGGCCTGGCTGCTGGTACCTTGCTTTTTGAGCTCATCCTCCAGGCTCTTGGTGAACTCGTAGCCAACCCTCAGGGTGACGAAGCAGTAGAGGCACTCTCCCTTCAGGGCGTGGGGGTGACTGACCACTGCAGACTCCGAGACAGCCGGGTGCTCCAGCAAGGCGGACTCCACCTCTGATGTGCTCAGCAAGTGGCCTGGGAGCAAAGAGAGGCAGTTTTAGACCTGCATGGGTGAGGTGAGGTCCTGCAGCCTCCAGCTGCTGGAAGGAGGAGGGAGAAGGCTCCTAAACGATGGGTTTGAGAGCAACAATTCCATGTGCTTGAGAAAAGAGAAACCCCAAAGGCTGCCAGGTATCAGCCACCTGCAGAGCAAGGCCAGCTCCCTTGGCTGTCCCCACTCCCACCTCTGGGCTTCTTGAGCAGCCCAGGAACTGCTCGCAGCCATGGGAGCACAGAGCACAGGCTGAGGAGGAGCTGGATGTGGTAAGAGACCGGCCCACATGGGGAGCTGGAAGGTGCAGAGGAGGAAGAGGCTGGACCTGCCATGCACTGCCCAGCTCATGGCTGTGTGGGGATGATGTGATGCTTCACACCTCGGGGCAGGGGCGCAACTCCCTCCTGCACTCTGATATTCCACCCTGGAAGTGCTGCCACAGAAAACCACTGGAAGGTGGTTGACCCCAGGATGATCAGGTGGAGGACCAAGCACTGCTGGTCAAATAAAAGGATTTAGTTTGATGCAGGGAGATGTACAGCAGCATCTCACATCCAGCAGTAAGTACCTACAGGCTACAGCCTCCAGGGAAGAAGCTATTAAATGCAGTATATGGATAATGATGGGCTGAGAAGCAGCTGAATCTCAGACTCCCTCAAGAGAGGTGGGACAATCTCTACCCTCTGTAGAAACAGCTCCAAGCAGCCTGATTCAGCTGCAAGAATAGCTCTGTGGTCTTGTCCAGCCTCTGTGATTCCCTGTGCCCCAAAACACTTCAGCACAGAGGCACTTGGCTGGTTAAGGATCTCCTGAGTGGTTACAGAAGGTTCCTTCCCTGCAGTGCACTGTGTCCAGAGGAAATGAGCAGAAAGCCACCAAGTCACAGACAGGTGTCTCAGAAAGAAGATGACCCAGCAGTTAGATCCACTTGAGGGCAGGTTGCTGGGCAGAGTCATGATGCAGAACCAGCCCCCATAAACCAAGGTGTATTAATAACTAGTGTCAGGAATGGATGCACAGTGTCCCCCCCAAGGTGTCTCTCAAGCAGTGTCAGAAAGTACACTGAAGACAAAACTTCTTACCAGAAATATTCAGCATGTCATCCATTCGCCCTGTGATCCAGTAATAACCATCTCTGTCTCTCCTGCAACCTAAAAATAGCCAGAAATGCCAGGGTGAGGAGCAGTGCCAGCACCCAGCCACTGCCTGCCAGGCCTGAGGCTGCTGTCCACAGGCTCTGCAGCTGTGTGCTCCCCACCTACCATCGCCTGTCACATAGTACCCAGGGAACTTCTTGAAGTAGGTTGCTTCGAAGTGCGAGTGGTTCCCATAGAGCGTGCGCATGATCCCTGGCCAGGGCTGCTTGAACACCTGAGAACACACCTGAGTCAGAGGGAGCAACACCAGCAGCCCAAGCTCTGCTGTGCTGAGATGGACACAGGCTTTGCACATGATGAAACACAGAATCCCAGCCTCGTTTGGGTTGGAAGGGACCTCAAAGCTCATCCAGCTCCGACCCCTGCCACAGGCAGGGACCCCTTCCACTGGAGCAGCTTGCTCCAAGCCCCTGTGTCCAACCTGGCCTTGAACACTGCCAGGGATGGGGCAGCCACAGCTTCTCTGGGCACCCTGTGCCAGCGCCTCAGCACCCTCACAGGGAAGAGCTTCTGCCTAAGAGCTCAGCTCAGTCTCCCCTCTGGCAGGTTCAAGCCATTCCCCTTGGCCTGTCCCTACAGGCCCTTGTC